GTAAAATTATGTAATAAAAACCAATAAATAACAGTACCTTTCTGCAATTTTAAGCCTTATTATTTGTGTTATAACAATGTTATTTATAGGTAATTTCATTGTTTTTATACAGGTAAATGGTCTTTATTAAACATTAAAAAGCCCCAAAAATACGGAAAATCTCATGTAAAATTAAAGCTATAAACTGTATTTTAATTTCTGTATTTTCATGAGATAGTTATTTTCCGTTATTTTTACAGTATTTTTCTGGTGCCCCAGCTGCCGAATATTACCGTTCTTTTTTATTTATTTATTTATTTTTTTTACAGTGTAACTGATCAACTGACATGTATTTATGTTCTATAGTTCTAACGATGTCATAGCACCATTGTACCTGAGGGCATCTCTAAGGTGGCCCCCAAACTGATAAGTAATCCTCTCCCAGTAGTGAAACATCTCGGTACTAATTTTCTTTCAAAATGAGCCACAAATCCACATGTAGAAGTGCAGAATGAGGTGAATAAAGCTGAGTACAGAGGGAGACTAAGAGTTCTCCAACTGGTATCAAGACTGCGATTATCTTCTCTCTACAAACAATGGACAGTTTTTTTTTTTACATTAGTCTCAAAACATGCTCAGGGTGAATGAGGCCAAATACACAATGGCACTGTAGCTTAATTTAGGGATGTATGTTTTTCACATTTGAGGTTCAAAGAGCTAGTTCCTGGACTCACATCAGTACAAACAGGGTTAGTTCTCACAGCTGACTCAATGAATCACAGCTCCACTCCTGTCTCAGTATTTGTCCTGTACAGTTTCACCAGATTGATATTCTGCCGCAGCAAATACTATTTTCTTTCTAGTAAAAATATGTCACTCCAGTGGAGTGACATCTCATACAAACACTGGTATCTTTGAGTAAGATTGACAGTGAGACCTTTTTCTTAGATGTACAATAACCACATGAGAGACTTCCTCTTGATACTTCAAAAGCCTTTGTGTACCAGAGAGGAGGAAATACTCCCCAGTCCAAGGTAAATAAGTTTCTGCTGTGAACATAAAAGGCCCAGTAGGTAGGATAAAGCCCATTGCTTATTAATATCACAGCTCCCCACTCTGATCTCACTTTGAAAACAGACATTAAAAGGCAAGATATAGAATTAGATAGAAATGAAATAAGAAAAAACAACCCTGAGAACTTTTTCCGGATCTGGATTTGTTTGATTCATAAGCAATTATGGATAGACAAACAAACAGTAGGACATGAGGGTATTACCTCACCACAGTGCATTGTTAACAAAGTGCCCTGGTTCAACTTTTAAGACACTCCCACCTCTGGTCGTCTCATTGTCACCTGATCATGATTCACTGAGCTTCCCCTACCAACAAGTCCTCCAACCTGAACAACAAATACAGGTTGCTTGCTTCAACCCTCTGACACGACTCATAGTGGTGTGTTTCCTGAAGTAGCGCCCCTACAGCGACAGGCATACTGGACCTTAGTTGTCATGATTACAATAATAAACACCCACCCTACCTACCTTCATCGCCATGGTTACTATAATAATGGTCATGGCTTGGTTAGGTTTGGTCATGGATAATAGAAACAACATAAAAGGCTACTTTCACATGGGAGTTGAGGACCGTTCTCCTGTGTGTTATTCCTGATGTGGTCTTTGTCACTCTATATACTACGTCACCGCTCTTCTCCTTTTGCTCCTGTCGTAATTACTACAGGCGCTAGATATTGCCTAACAACAAAATGTAACTATGGGTCATAATAACCTGCTGCACAGACGACCTATGGGCTCGTTCTTTACTGGAGGACTGTCTCTCCCTACCCTGCCTCTCAGGATGGCTTATAAAACCCACTCACAATGTCTCACCTCACAAATTCCTTTAACTCTATAGAATTCGCAGGAGAAGTCACCTCCTGGATCAGAGCACCAAGGACAGGAAAACTTAATTTGGTCTTCCATCAACATATCAAAACATTTTAATTGGATTTTATGCTCTGGCTTCCCTCCCAAACCTTATTATTATTCCTCCCTAACATGAGCAATCAGTTGAACAGACAAAAGCTCACAGTGGCATGTTGTTCAGCAAACAGCTTTGCTTGTCAGAACCTTCTGGTACTCTGTGCTCAGTGATGTTCATGCAGGATAATGAGCTTGCCACCAGCCATTTGACATACTACTTTTTAATTCAGTGGTAAAAATTGAAAAATTATTTGAATGAAAAGTACAGTGAGCAAGTGTTTCACTGTGCACAAAAGAAAGCCCACCAGAAGAGCATTGCAGTAGTCGAGGCGAGAGTTGACCATGGCCTGGACCAAGAGCTGGGTGGTGTACTACGTAAAGTAAGGCCTGATTTCTCTGCTGTTGTATAGAGAAAAAGTGGCACAACCAAGAGACAGATGCAACGTGGTCAGAGAAGGAGAGCTGGTCATCAAACATTACACCCAGCTTTCTTGTAACCTTAGTTGGGGTAAGGGATGAAGAGACAATTTTGATATCAATATTGTGATGAAGAGAGTGATTGGCCGGGATGACTAGAACGTCAGTCTTGATATGGCTTGGAGGAGGTTTGTGTGAATGGGATCCAGCGTACATGTAGTAGGTACTGGTCAGAAGTTCTGACATATCGTTCTCAGTGAGAGGGGCGAATGACAAAAAAGTTGTTTCATTCATGCCCTTAATCAGCAGAGACTAGTCGTATCCGGGAGGTTCAGAGAACTGGTGGCTGATGGCCACCACCTTTTCAGCGAAGAAGGAGGCAAAGATATCGGCTGAGAGGTTTGTGCCTGGGAGGGGTGGTGGAGGATTGAGTAAGGTTTTAAAGGTTGGAAAATGTTTTCAGTGGTACTGCTGATCTTATCGTTGTAAAATGCAGTTTTGGCAGCACTGATGTTGGGATAAGACGGAGGCTAGGAGTGACTGATAGGCCATGAGGTCAGCAGGGTCCCTGGTTTTGCGCCATTTTTCTTCTCATCAGCTCTGAGATTGGTACGCAGTGGTACCAGGTCTTTTTTTTTTTTTCCCCCACATTAATCGTTAGGTTGAATATAAATTGATAGCGATAATACCTCCAGTGGGAGGCAGCAAAGCTCCAGAATCGGTGAAGTGGATTACGGGGGGGGGGGGGGGGTTTGGGCCCCCCCCCCCCCCCCGCGGGGCCCCCCGGGGGGGGGGGGGCGCCGGCCCCCCCCCCCCCGCCTGCAGGACTCCACTGAGGGGGCGTGTGAATGTGCTGACGTGCTGCCTCAGCACTGGACTATAAGAGGCTTTGGGAGACGGGCTAAGGACCTAGCATGGACACCGCTTTCTGACTCTCCATCTTTATTTTATGCTGTCTCTCTTACACCATCTCTCTTTCATTTTTATTGGAATGAAGGTAGGAAGCTAAATATAGTATATTCATAATTTGATTTATTTTATATATATTTAGAGCATTGTGTTCATGATAAAGATGATTTTTTAATGGGCAATTATATAAATTGGAGTTACCAAATAATATAATTTTATTTTCTAAAGCATGAATGTTGCTGTGAATGAGTTTGCTGTATGTAATTAAAGTAGGAGCTATTGTTGTATACAGATAAGATTAGAAAATGTTGGTAAAGTGCAATAAAGAGCTACTTTAGAAGCACTGGTTTTGCACATTATGGACACACAAAGCAGGCTGGTGCAACCTAGTTTTGTAGGGGTGTCCCTCAGTCCACATCATGTATTGGGTTTGTAATATAATGTACAAAGTTTCCTTGTGTAATATCTGTTTTAAGAGTTTTCAAAAGTTGTTATAGAGTTTAAAAAATTTCTCCTCATTCTGTTTGAAATACTTCTGTGTAGCAGTGGGTAACCAGTTGAGCTGCTGGACTGTCAGATGTGTTCAGCAGCTAACATGTCTACCTGTGAGTCAGTTATTGAAATACTATTTTAACTTTTTCAACTTCTTTAAATTATTAACATGTCGAATATTAAGGTCAGGTTGTGTGAGGCAAACATTTCCATGATTTCTATCAATGGATAACAGAGGGTCCTCCAACATTACATCACACTCATCTCACACACACACTTAAATGAACATACAATGCATTTTTCTGTTGAGTGCAGATTAACTGTTAAGATTAAGTAAATTATTCTGCTTCTGTGTCAGCCTCTAGTTACTGTTAGCAGATGGCAACAGAATATAGAATAACAGAGTCTCTACTTTAGTATTATCAGTGTTTAGCAGCATCACTTTGTACATTTAACTGTGCATCAATATGATTTCAACAAGTGAGCTATAAAAATAAACCATGTGGACAGTGCTCACCACACTTTCAGGTGCAATAATGAGTCAATTATGCATTTATAAAGTGCTGTTAGTGCATTGTGGTCGTCATCTGAGAAATGTGGATATTATGTCTCAAACTGCACTAATTAATCAACTGAAAAACAGCTTGATTTGCACATTGTTTTTATGGTTGTTTTAATGAAAGCTGTGATCTGTGTCTGTGCTTGCTGGAGCAGAGAGTGCTTGTTATGCTTCATTACCCCCTTGTGTGTGTGTGTCTGTATGTAATTTGTTGTTTTATAGGTTGTGTATTCCAGCCTCTGTGTTTATGTGCAACTTCTGCTAATACTAATTTCTTTGTAGATTGTGTTGTGTAATTAGAAATGTTTGAATAGACTGAGTCTGTCCCTGCACACAGCATGAAGCTGCATCCATTTTCTCATCTCTGCACACAAGACATCAGGACTGATTTAAAGCCCATGTCAGGGTGTTTATATGTGTTTTCTTGCCCTTGCATCCACACGTAGCAAAAACACAATATTAGACCGCAGCCAAGGTAACAGCAGGCCACAGTTTCAGTTGTCTAGACATCAAAAATCGACTGTTTTGTTGACTGTAATTTGAGGATCCAATTGTTCGGTCTCACTGAGTGTTTGATTCAGATTCACTGTAAAAGCTTGAGTGCCTTATTTAAAGGGATTGCTTCGTATACCTTTATTTATTTTCTCTGTCTTTGCTCTTCACAGGATGGCATTTTTCTACATCACTATAAAGCCATCTTTCCCACCTTTACAACCGTGTACAGAGAGGTAAACAGAAGCACCTGAAGAGCCTTACGAAATATTCAACACTGTGGACACATGGAGACAAGCTTGCCAAAGCCCTGACCACTACAAATTCACCTCGAGCCTCAGCTGATTCACATTTACTCCTTTTTTCCTACGCTGTGGTTGTAAACATATCACTCTGTCTCCCCAGTTCAAAGACTTCCCACATTTATCCTCCCTCTGTGCCACAGGACCCTCACAGTGCCCCTCAGAGGGGCAATGCCAGTCTTGCTTAATGCCGACGCCTCCTTTAGCTCCAAGCAGGAGCTCCTGGACCTACAGGAGTGCCCTCTCAGTGGGGGTCCCTCTCTGGACACCCCCAGTCCCGTGGACTCCCAGACAGACAGCCCCATAGGCTCAGGCCCCAGAAGCCCCAGCAGTCCTGGAGCTGATGGCCCCATTCGGCCTCCCATTTTCACTGGGGCTTCCACACTCCCCGGGCAGCTATATGGTGTGGAAGCAAGACCTCATGCAGAGCCTCCCATGGGGTTAAAGCTGATCCCCACTGACTTGGATCAGCTATGTGGCTGGGGGGCTCTGACACCCAAAGCTATTCAAGTTTTCAACACCCCTCGCTGGGTGCTGTTCTTCCTTTGTGTGGCCTCTTTCCTCCAGGGGATGATAATCAATGGCTTCATTAACACGGTGGTCACCTCCATTGAGAGGCGTTTCGACCTGCGCAGCTACCAGGCCGGACTCATCGCCAGTTCCTATGACATCGCCGCCTGCGTCTGCCTAGCCTTCGTCAGTTACTTTGGCGGGACGGGGCACAAGCCCCGCTGGCTGGGATGGGGGGTCCTGATCATGGCACTGGGTTCCCTGGTGTTTGCCTTGCCTCACTTCACCACACCCCCCTACCAGGTCAGCCTGCCCGAGCGAACAGGAATGTGCTCTGCCAACCGTACCAGCCCGTGCCAGGACAAGGAGGGCGGGGGATTGTCCAGCTATCGTTTTGTTTTCATGCTGGGCCAGTTTCTGCATGGTGTTGGAGCTACGCCTCTCTACACACTAGGGGTCACATACCTGGATGAGAACGTCAAGTCCAACTATGCGCCAGTTTACATAGGTAAGTCACATCAGTAATCCATTATTACAGCATGTTTTTCTTGGGTTTTGAAGAAATAACAGCAATAATGACTTTGTGTTATGTTTCTTTTACTTAAATTGTAACAATCTAGTTCTTTGGCCACTTTTTTTACACTTGCATATTAGTTTGTATTTCTTTCTGCCACAAAATATAAAATACCTCAAGCAGATTTCCTCAGCTGCAGCTACACCACAGAAGAGAAACTCCTGGCTGTCTGGTTAATGTGTTCTCTGCATGCCAGCTTCTGCACTACTTATGTTCCGCTACTGTGTCTCTGTGATTTTAATATTTGAAATAATAGTTAAATGATAATATGTCTTTTGAAAAACACCAACAGAGCAGGTGGTTGTGCTTTAGATAAACAGTCTAGATATCTTGATACAGTATGTCCTTGTTTGACCTAACGATATTTGATTTAGTGACATTAGAAAGTATTTGCAGTTAATTGATTAGTCGCTGACTAATGTTCTGGTGATTGACTAATCGATTGACTAGAGAAAAAAACAAAAACATCAGGATTAGGTTATTTTTTTCCAATTGTTCAGCCCTCTATTGACCTCACAATGGTGTTGTTAAACAAACTGTCTCATTGACCAGTGGGGCAAAGGGTTTGAAATTATTACCTCAGTGCTTAATATTGTCAGCTGCTCACTGCTGAGACACAAACGACTGGTTTAGGTCATACAGTAAGAGAAGGGAGTCGTGTCAGCTCATATTGGCAGCTGGGCAATGAAGAGGAGCCACTGACTGCTAATTGTTTTGAACATACTTTGATTGCATTGAATAATGGGAATATATGCAAATAGCAGGCCTCGGAAAAAACCTCCAACTGCATCTTTTATTATACTAATTACATTCAAACATATCTGCTGTCTGTATACATATGTGCATATGAATGGGGATTTTTTTTTGTTGTTGTTCAAGCATGAGCACACAAAAGCCAACATGTCTTGTCACAAACCGTGAGTTGACACACTGACCCATAAACTGACTGTTACAGTTACAGGTTTTCAACACCAGCCGTCTGCTGTGTTGCGTGAATTGAATGTGTGCTACTGCTGTGACACGTTCCCTCTTGGATCAGATAAAGTGTCTCCCTACCGACACTGTGTAATGACTCCAATTAGCAGCAACTATCCAGAACAGACTCACAGAATCGTTGTTATCTCTTTTATTGAGAACTGGATACAGATGAAGGAGCTTATTGGGTAGATGTGAGAAAATGGCCTCATATACACAGATGCTGCCTCTCTCTTTAACTGTCACCAACTTATCATCTCTGATGTTATAATTGTGTTGCCATCATCAGAGATGAAGTGCTGGCCCTGTAATTTTGACCCTCTTAGACCCCTGTCATCACCCATCTTCACACTTAACCATTCACTCTGAACAGCTATAGCTCGAAACATCCCTGAAGTGTGACTTGGCTCCTTTACGCATTTCAAATAGCAGCAGAGAACAGTAGAAATGCTCTCACCAAAACACACAGACAAACATGCACACACAGTTTCTCACTTCAAGCTTCTTTTTTTCTCATGAAACGTGAGCTTTGTAGATACAGAGACCAATAAAGAACAATGGGGCCTTTTTAACCTGTAGGACAGGAAGAGGTAAGTAGGAAACAGGAAGTAGGAAGTAGCCTGTACTGTAGTCACTGTACTGACACACCCATGGCCTGTCTCTGTGGTCTCTCTCCCTCTTTCTCTCTCTCTCTCCATCCTCCCCAGGAATCTTCTACACTGCAGCCATTGTGGGTCCGGCAGCAGGCTACCTGCTGGGAGGATACTTCCTCAACATCTACACCGAGATCCACCTAACGTGAGTCTGCTGTGGATGGCAGAATGGACAAAGATAGAGGAAACTACAGTATTATACAATCAAGGGCGTAGGTTTGGTCTCAACATTGGTAGGGACACAACAACCCTGCCACCCATCCAAAAAAAAAAAGATAATACAGATCAAGGACTAAAGAAAGGAAATCAGGAAATTACTTCTTCAAGGAAAAGAGAATAAAAACAATGTTTTTGCATTTTTGCATCTAACATAAACATTTTTATATTCAGTATTCCTACCAGTACCAAAGTGAAGTACAAAACATGTTGGGAAGGACAAATTGAAGTTATGTGTGCCGTGCACTTCAGGAAAAAGAGGACAGGGAGTCATCTGAAATACTACATTTTCACCCTTGCTTGGCAGCACTCAGCACATAACTTACCGCACACTGAACTACTCTCGCCTTCACCAGTATTTACACATGACATGAGCCTCCAGGTAGTCCCTGCCCTTTCAGCCAATTAAAATGCGCCTAAATCGGTCATCTTGGAGACGTAGCCTCTGGGAGCGCACATGAGAATTATCTAATGACTTCACTACAAACAGTGAGTTCACTCAAATATTGGCAGGGACATGTCTGTACTGTCCACATGCAAACCTACTCCCATGAATACAATAGAAGAGGCTAGAATAGAAGAAACTAGTGTGTGCTAGCAAAGAGTAGGACTGTGTCCGAAATTGCCCTGTTTACTCTACAGGATGGTGCACTACATTTACTCCCCGGCACAGTTTTTTACTTCCCTGCTAACAATGCAGTGCACTGCATTTTATAGATATAAAAACAAACAGTTATGCAGCTCTACAGCCGTCAGTGATAATGCAAAATGACCATGTCCAAAATCTCAATTTTCTGCTCACTATTGAGTAAACCATTTAGTGTTCTTTATATATTGAAGGACAGAATTCAGAGTTCTGCACAGGTCCAATTTTGCAAAACTGCATGTGCCCCCTACCTGCACAGCTCAGTACCTGTAACCCGCAGTTATCTCTGAATCAAATCCGGACCTGACCTAACGGTTAATTAAATATAGGATACATAGGAAGCAGTTGCTCACTTTAGTTTGCCATTTTGTAGTGCTGTCTGAATGCATAGTGAAAATTATTATACGCTTTATATTTACCCTTTCATTGTATCCCACAATGCATCATGAAAGGTAGTGTCCAACCAATGCTCACTCACCAAGCAATATATGCCATCATCCTCTAGGTAGGACTCCCTGGATGGTGAGTAGGGAATAGTGAATGAGTGAGTTCGGACTTCGGACACAACAGGTGTACATACTTTTTTGTTTCATTGTGTGTGTGTGTCGTTTTGGAGGACATTATACAGTGCGTAAATTTACAAATGTAGTGACCTATATAGTAAGTGGGGGGGTTATTTCAGACTGTGTGTAACAGATGTATGTAGAATAATTGTTGTCAACATCTGTAAAAATAATTCAAACAATGTTTGTGTGTGTTGTCACAGGACAGAGATGACTCCAGAGAACCCTCTGTGGGTCGGGGCTTGGTGGATCGGCTTCCTTGCAGGAGGAGCAGCAGCTCTACTGGTAGCATTCCCCATCCTGGGCTACCCACGACAGCTACCGGGTACTACACACACACACACACACACACACACACACACACACACACACAAATGGAGGGGTAAAATTTGTGCAGTAATGTCCAGCCTCACCAACCTCACTGTTTACTCTTCCTCTGCCTCTTCTTGCAGGCTCTCAGGAGTATGTGGCCATGCGGGTGTCTGAGGCCCACCAGCTGAAGGACGGGAGCCACACCACAGCCTCAGACCCTCAGTTTGGCAAATCAGTCAAAGACATGCCAAGGTAAAGTAGTGCACCTTCTCCCATAACGAGAGGGCAGCAGAGGCGTTGTTCTGGATATGGTATAGATGGGTTTTTGAGTGACATCATCCTGAGATGTGTGGGTACAGGGGGTTAGAAAAACACACCAGAACGAGTGGGAACATCAACACAAGGAGTTGTTTTTTTGCCATAAATTGCATCCTTAATAGATGGAAAATATTCAGTATCCTAACAAGGAAACCTGGGTGTTAGCTTAGAGTGCAGAATTAGATATTAGCATCTAGTAATCTGGTCAGAGCCCTGGTTTTAATAAGGTGGTGGATAGTTGTAAAAGAAACAGGTGAGGAAGAAACACCTGTTTTAAAGTAACACTTTAGAGCTCACGCTGTTATTGTGTTTTTGTGGATATAAAATTAATATTGCAAAAGTAAATGGCCTGCACGTATATAGCGCTTTTCTCATCTTAGCAACCACTCACAGCACTTTACACTACAAGGAACATTAACCCCTTCACACACCGATGTTACAGTGGAGCTGAGTTCCTTGCCCTCGGACACTTCGACAGGAAGAGCCGGGAATCAAACCACTTACTTTCTGATTAGTGGACGACTGACTCTACCTACTGAGCCACAGCCAAAACCTTATCAGGTTCCATGATCAACGTGTTGGTGATCAGTTATATGTGTTTAAAGTTAAGGTTTTTTACAAGAGGATGTATGAGCTTTAAATAGCTTAAATATCAGCAGGCTAATTAAGTGTTTGTTTTGTTTCCCCACAAAGTCTTTTGGATATTACATGAACATTAAAATTCTTCATTTATATGAACAGATGTAAACTTTAAAGTGTAATGTTGCTATGGATTCAGGGAGTTACGCTGTTGGCTTTGTTTACATTTTGGAAAATTAAGTACGCAAATCATTCGCAAATTAGCGGCACTAGTTTCCTATGTACCATTAGACGTACACATGACGTCAATGAATTACTTTGGTTCTACAGAAAGAGAGAGTCTGTTTTTCTATGATTTCTAAGCAGATTTATGAACGATTATTTGTAATAGACATTGGAGGTAAGAAAGTCTTAGTCACACTGTATCTAAAAATATGTGTGTCGTGTCTGCATGTTCAGATTTGAGTCGTGACGGATTTTTTTTTATAATAATAGGTTAGAAAGTTGTCGCTCTTATTATCCTCCATGAGCTGCGCATCACTGCCACTGCTGCAACTGCTAATCATGTTGATGAGCCGGCCAGACAATAACTAACTGTCAAACAGCTAAAGTTGTTTCCCTTCTCTCTCACACGGTACCTTTACCTCATGTCTCTCCCTCTAAACCTCCTTTACAGTTTGAAAACTTCTGGAATATTGCCAGACTTTCCTGATGGTACAAAGTGTTCCCCAAATTATAACAACCAACACAAATCAATTTTTACCTGCCCACTTAAAGAAAAAGTGGGCTACTGCTAGCTGCTGCCATTTCTCACTCAGATTTATGTTAGCTAGCTGGAGCCAACAGATGTCTTTGAATGTGAGGTGTGAGGTGAGAAGGTTTTGAAAATGTGAGGATGAGTGCAGCATAGAAATTCACATGTTAAACTTAACTAGAAATCCTTAGTTGTAACCAGCGTCCAGCGAGTCGCTCCATTTCTAAATACAGAAAATGTTCATATGTAAGCTACTGTGACATTGCGATGATGGTGTGCGTCTCCTCGGCTGTGTGTAAAGTGGAAACCTGACTGTTATGAATGAACACACACATATACATTGCTCTTTTCGGATAACGGCGATCTTTCCATCAGTAGATTTGAATATAAAGGAAACAAATGTCACATTCGTAGAGAAGCGTCACTGCACGCTGCATGTCAGTGTGAGTGGCAGCAGTCTACAACTCTGTTTACTACGAGATCAAGCAACCACAGTGTGATGTCATCTCTGCCGCACCGGGGGATTACAGAGACGGCACCTTATGTAACATGATGATATATCTCTAGTGATCTAGTGCGGTGTTTATCTGTACTGTATTAGAAACGTCTCCAGGCTGCTGGGATTAGAGTGGACTGGTTTAATTAAAAAGGAAGCAAATGTTTATTCAGTTACGTGCACACACTGCCCCTTACTCTTCTTCTCTCTCTCTCTCTCTCTCTCCAGGTCTGTGCTGCTCCTCTTGAAGAATCCCACTTTCCTGTTCCTGTGTTTGGCTGGAGCGACTGAGGCCACCCTCATCGCTGGCATGTCCACCTTTGGTCCAAAGTTCCTGGAGTCACAGTTCAGTCTCAGTGCATCAGAGGCTGCTACATGGTTCGGTAAGGTGATGAATAAAGAAGTAAAACAGGGGTCTCCAGCAGGTGCCTCCTGGGGCTCACCCAAACTCTCTGAGAATATAGTCTGTACACACCGTGGATGCATAGTACAAACTTTAAGCAACACAACTTACACTCAGTAAATCTCCTCCAAATGCAACTAAATCAAATACACAGACGTACTCACCACTCTAAACTAAACGCTTTCCAGGAAACCAGAAATATGTTGCCGTGGATTAAGCTGAGTTAAGCTGTGGGCTTCAACTTGAGCCACATTTTTTTTAGCCAATGTTTGTTTACATTTTGGGAAATGAAGTGTACCGAATGAACTATTTTAAGTTCCAGTTTGTTATGTACCATGAGTGTACAGACAACTATCACTGGATTATTCACTATTCACCATTATTCAAATTCTTTTTTCTCTGATTTCTAAGCAGATTTCTGGACGTTTATTTGCAGTGGTGTNTGAATGAACTATTTTAAGTTCCAGTTTGTTATGTACCGTGGGTGTACAGACAACTATCACTGGATTATTCACTAAGGAGTTTCTTTTTTCTCTGATTTCTAAGCAGATTTCTGGACGTTTATTTGCAGTGGTGTTGTCAAGTCTGTGTGTTCAGGTTTGACTGAATCATGACGCAGATTTTTGTCTGATGACCCCCCCCTCACCCCCAGGATACATGGTGGTTCCTGCAGGAGGTGGTGGCACCTTCCTGGGCGGCTACATTGTGAAGAGACTGAACCTGCGCTGTCGAGGTATCATCCGCTTCTGCATGATGTGTGCGATGGTCAGCCTGGTCGCCATCTTCATCTTTCTCATCCACTGCCCCAACGTGCCAATGGCTGGGGTCACAGCACCGTACCAGTCCAGTCTGATGGAGAAACGCCAACTGGACCAGTACAAACACCTGTACGACAAGCCCAGCGAGCTGCACCTCTGGAACAGGTGCAGTGTTCACGTTGGCTACTCATTCTGATTTAGTTGAGATGTGATTAGTCTTTTTACTCAAATGTACACCAGCTTTAGTCACAGTTTATTCATTTGACTAGTGTTCATTTTAGTCTTGTTTTATTTATTTTATATTTATTCTCCTGATTAATTTCTTTCATGTCTTGTAAGAAATAAAAAGTTACAGGAGTTGTTCTATAGCAGGAAGGAAGTGGAAAAGTTTCACTTTTAGGTAGTGGACTCCGACTAATGACGTCCTTCTTTGTCACCTCTCTCCCCTGTCTGTTTGCTGTTGCTGCTTCACTCTCATTCTCCAACGTTTGCTCCCTCCGTCCCTCCCTCTCATGTCCGTCCCTCCTTCCCCTCGTGTCTGCAGCTCGTCTTTAGAGGAGAACCTGACAGTGGGCTGTAACGCAGGCTGTAGCTGTGTCAGAGAGCTGTATAACCCGGTGTGCGGGGCAGACGGTGTCATGTATTACTCCCCCTGCCACGCTGGCTGCAGCTCCATCAACCACACCGAACGCTCCACCGGCAAACAGGTACAGTATACATACACACACACACACACACACACACAGTGCTCGTGTCACTTTACTCTGACTAGAGGGAAATCAGATGAGATTAACCAGGATCTGAGGGAAAGCCTCTATATAGAGGTTACACAATTGATTTAGAAAATTTTCCCTCTCATTTGCTCAAGCTTTCCCTCTTGCAGATGTGAGGCATCATGGTTGCTCTGAAATACATATATGTTTATTGGAAAACATACACATCGCTGAACATAAGATGTTAACAAGCAGTAATGTAAGCAAATGAACCCAATTCAGTTACAGTCATTTACATCATCAGTGTATTGTAGTATAATACAATATATAATATAGTACAATACATGTTGTATCAGTGTAATGACCCTTGAAGTTATGATATGGAATAGGATGAATATGAATTTACAAGTAGGTTGAGTTGTTTTCATTATGTGAACTAATGACCTCATTATCATAACAATCTTTGTATGTATATGTTACACTGTGTGTGTGTGTGTGTGTGTGTGTGCTTTCAGGTGTACTCTGGATGTAGCTGTGTGGTGGGGAATGTGTCGTGGGGTGAGGAGGGCTTTGCTCTCGCAGGGAAGTGTGGCAGCTCCTGCCACCACATGCCGGCCTTCCTCTCCTTCCTCTTCATCATCATCTCCTTCACCTTCCTCTGTAGCATCCCAGCGCTCACTGCCACACTCAGGTGGGTGGCTACAGTGAGAGAGTGGGGAAAAAACAAAACAGATGCTTGTAGTGTAGATTCTGGGAGAAGACAGCGTTGTTAAGTTTGTTCATTGAGCTAACAGTAAAAATATTTCCTTCTGACTGTGTTAAGTTATTTAATTTAATAGTTATTTATTAATATAAATATATAAAATGACTAATTTGGTGACTATCGTATTTATAAAATCCCACTGCTCAATGCTTGATATTTATGAGACATTTAAATATTATTAGTAGAGATGAGGAGTATTCTTATCCAACCTGCTGGATACATAAGAAATCATCAATCATTCTTTTTTTAAAAAAGAAAAGAAAAGTGGAAATTATGAAAATGCCAACTTTAATCTCCGTTCCTGCCACTGTGGTCGCAGATGAATGAAAAATGTAATTGCGTGCTGTAACAGAGATACATGCTGCGAGATTTATTGCCACAGTTGATCTCCTCTCATTAATGAGTCCAACAGATGATGCGGTGCCTGTGACAGGAAGACGCAGGGAGTCTTATCATAGCACTGTCAAGACAAACTGTGCAACTGAGGAATAGAGAAAACAAAAAGTGTCTGATTGTGTTAAAATGACGTTTGAGATTCAGTGTGCCTGCCCGTCTGACCGACACTGTGCTGTGTAGGTGTGTGCCAGACAGCCAGAGATCCTTTGGACTCGGCATCCAGTGGATTGTTGTGCGCACACTTGGTAAGCCAACTGCATTCTTTCATTAGGTTTACCTGTAGCGTCTGAATCAGTGCTTCATTGTCTCCGCACAGATGCCACGATTTTGTCCAATCTGTGCTGCTGTTTTCCTCACAGGTGGTATTCCAGGACCCATAGCGTTTGGCTCTGTGATTGACATCTCCTGCTTACTGTGGCAAGATCAGTGTGGTGAGCAGGGCTCCTGCTACCTCTATCAGAACTCAGCCATGAGCCAGTACACGCTAGTAGCTGGTATCATTTATAAGGTAAAACTAACACACGGGTTAACAGGTAATTTACTGCAGTCTCACATGCAATCTCCAGAGGTTCATCAGACGGTGAAGTCCTACAGGCTGTGTGCATTTCTCTGTGGAGTCAGCGCTTTGATGCTTTCACAGTATTAATATAGAACCTCGACCTGCTTTATAATGAACCCTCACGTTACACAGTATGGGACTTTATACCATAATATCTCAAAGTATAGTTCTGAGGTCTTACTCCTTTCACTTTTAAAAAGTAAAAGAGACAAAGCATGATGAATTTAAGATGGTGCAATTTAATTTAAACATTAAAGGGGAATTCCACCAATTTCACCCATCAAAGTCTGTGAGGAAAGAGTTGTATAAAGCCTTTAATGTTTCCAGAGGGAGCTGATAAATGTCCTCAAGTGATTTCACCTGAGTCAGCGTTGGTTGGGTCTAAAGGAGACAGACCTCCTGTAAAAAGCCTATAGGTCGTCTGTGCAGCAGCTTATTATGTCCCATAGTTCAATTTATTGTCAGGCAACATCTAGTAACCGTAGTAATTATGACAGGAGCAGAGGAAGGATGGGTGCATCAACCGAAACAGGATGTAGGAGATCAGTGTCTGATTTCCTGTCTGAAACCAGCAGTTTATGTTCTTTCACATCCTTAAACACCCTTAACCATGTTGTTATTATTGTAACCATGACAACGAAGATCATCTAAGGAAGGAAGTACTTATTTTAAGGAAGTACTTATTTTAACCCAGTCCACAATCTTTTCCTAAATATAACCAAACCATGCCTGTTGCATAAGTGTTTATAATTGTTACCATGGGGACAAAGGTCCAGTACGCCACTGTCGGTACAATCCATGTGTCTATTATTGTAAACATGACAACCAAGGTCCAGTTGTGCTATTTCAGAGGACACTCCTATGGGTCGTATCAGAGGGTTGAAACAAATGACCGATATAGTTTTTCAGATCGGAGGACTTGTTGGTCTAAAAGCTACAAGTTTGAAAAGTAAAAAATCCTGGGGTGTGGAGTTAGAGAGAAAGAAAGACCAGATCTCTGTAGCCCCCTCCTCATCACTGCACAGCTGAAACAGAACTGTCAGCAGTTGTTGAACTGTCAAAGCTCTGTCAAAGCATTTTGTATCTTCACAAGTCTTTGTCCAGACCAGCCCTAAAGAGACTAAAGAGGCTTCATCCTTTTCCCTTTTACACATGGATCATGACAAGCTTCCCCAGTGAAGTAGAGTAACTCCCACATTTGAGTAACTTCTCAGTATCGGCCACACATTCACAAACTTTTGAAGTAGTTGAAAGTGAAATGATTTTCTCTGAAGCTACAAAAAAAATATAACCAGACTTAGACAAACATCCCATAATGCAACACTCGCTGTTGGAGACAGTGTTACACCTGGACATTCGAAAATATTATGTGTTGATGTGAGATGTCATTTCCAGAGAAAAACGTAGTGGAGAAGCCTGTTGTCTGTCTCTGTATGCAACACTAATCGCCTCCTGCCTCTTGCTTCATACATAACAAACATGAGTGGTATTTATCTTCTTCATGTTTTCTCCCTCTTTTTCAGGTTTTGGGGACAATCTTTTTCCTGTTAGCCAGCATCCTATACCAGCCTCCTCCTGAGTCACCTCAAAGCAGCTGTGAGAGCACCGACCATGGAGCGGGAAACATGGGCGACCTGCCCGTCAAAGACCTGCCTGAAGACGGTGTCATCGTCAACCTGCACGCCAGGTTATGACGTCTGACACAAACTAACTGAGTTTTTATCTGATTGTATGTGTGTGTTTGTGTAGGTGTTGCTTAATGCACAGTGTGTGAGTGTGTGAGCGTGTGAGTGTGTGTGTGTGTGTGTGTGTGTGTGTGTGTGTGTGTGTGTGGTGATGGGGGTGGGGGTGGGGAGGTGCTTCCTTTACACCAACAGCCTTCTATCAGCCATAATGACACCAGCCCCCAACATACATACACACGTGTAGATGTGAACACTTGCAATCACTCAAATCGACAAAATGACTACGGACAGACACACACACACACACACACACACACACACACACACACACACACACACACATTACTACTACTTTTTATAGTACACAATGACTTCTAACATGCTGCTTTCTTGGAACAAAACCCTGCTGTGACTGCATGTGTGTGCATGTGTGTGCGTATCTGAGTGTTTGATTGACAGGGCAGTACCACACAATTTTTTATGTAAACGGCAGCATTTCTACAGATATCTCTAAACTACGTTAAATCAGTTCAAATGACGTTTTTCGAATGTGAGTCTAATGACATTACTGTTTTTGTACTGTCATTACATCATATGTCATCGTCCTTTAGAAGCCAGTGAAACGGCTGAGACCGATGTGGGGTATATTATATGCCATACGTATGAAGCATTTATGGATGTGGAAAAAAAAAAAAAAAAAGGCATTTATATCCATCTTCTCTTTCTGTTCGTTCCTCATTGGTGGAACATAGTTACGTTGCTTTGTTTGCTTCCCACAGATAAAGCCATGGTCTAATATATTGTACCAGAGCTCCAGACCAATAATAATGAAGCCAAATCGTTTTTCATATCATGTTACATTTTACACCAAGAGTATCTACAGGCACTTATATTGATATAATGTGAACATAGACTATTGGCCACAGTACAGCAGCACAAATATATTTTCAATTAGAAAAGCACATGTGTATTTTTGATAGCTACTTGAACACATGTATAATACATTTATGACCAATAATTGGCTTGTATTTAAAAGTAGGAATAAAGAGAGGAAGAAAACTACAATACATTTGTTTTCTACATGATACATATAAATATATATATATATACAGTATATATATATATATATATATTGGTTTGATGGTTTGATAGCTCTGTTTGCCAGTTTAGTAATAAGAGCTTTGATGCTTCTCTTCTATAGAAAATGCATAGCTGCACTTTAGAAAAATAACAAAAGCACTGAGAAGTTTGGAAAGTGTATGTTGACACAATAAAGGCCTGGTAGCAGCGTTTAAAATGGCAAAATTATGGAACAAAAGCACTTATTTCCTGATGAATTGCTGCAATAATTTTACTCATGAGGGTAAATCTGCACACAAGTTTAACTTTGGTGAACTTTGACCTTTGATGGTCTAGAGAAAGACCAAGATGGAGGAAGCTGAATTCTGGCTTGTTAGCTGTGTTGCACCAGCAACTTTTATAGTGAAACAAAGTGAGGCAAAACTTTCAGGACCTGTTCCACAAGTAAGAAAACCTCATTCAAAGTCCCATTGACATTTGTAATAACAGTTAACTAAAAATCCTGCTTAGCCTTTCTCAAGGGTATGTTATGTGACTGACTCCTGCTAACTGCCTCCTGCTGTTTACCTCATACTGGACAGAAAGGACTCACAAAATGAAGTCACGATGACACAAGTACCAGCTCTTTTTTTTAACCAGTTCTTTTTTGCTTATAAGTTGTTGTTTAACTTTAAATCACAAAGATCTCATCATATTCTGTTTGCACTTGTCAGTCACAATTTCTCTTTGAGCTTCTTTCAAATTTTTTCTCTGTGATGTTTCATTTTGTTCCCCCTGGCATTTTCTTCTCAGGACTGAACATCATTCCATCCAATAAAGAGTTAGTGAAAAGGGAACAGAGCCCTTTGAGTAAGCCAGCTTGCTAGCTGTCATTTAGCATGCACGTTAGCTTGGTTACCAACATGACAACAAATACAGTTTATCTGGAAGATATTTTTGTACATTCAGGTCCTGTCTCAGAACTGTCTGCAAACCATTCCTCGTTTGTCAAGAAGTATATACTCCATCAGAGAAGGTTAAATACTAGTGGAGGATGCAACAGAGCTAATAAGCTACACGCTCCATCTTGGACTCTCCAACTAGCTGTGTCATGAATCAGGGGCGGTCTAGATGTCATAGACCATGAAGGCCTAACCGAAACGAGATGGTCTGACCTTTTTGCTTAGCATCACCAGCTGTGTTTGCCCTTACTGTTGCGTCACAAAGCGTCCTGTTGCCTAGCAACCTTGACAACAGTTAAACGGTTGTACTGTTAGCTCTTGAACTGAGCTGAAACCCAATACTTATATTTAAAAGTGTAATCCTCGGGCTGTCTATCAGCATCGTTTGCTGCCATATTATTTTCATTACTGGCAAGCAATGAATCTTTGGCTAGGCAAGGCCACGAAGGATCCACCCGTCGGAGCCTTCGTTGCGTCGAAAACAATGGCCGCAGTTCTCTGTCTTCGAAACGGGACAGCCTAGTCGCACCACTGTGACGAAGTTGGTCTTCAAATGCAGCTTCTGAAGGATGCGGCCCCTGATTTAGACCACTGTTCTGTAAAACTTCACCAAAGTTGAACTTGCTTTGAAACATTTGGACCTCACCCCTGTGAATAAATCAACTGAAAGCGGCATTTCCATTGGGACGAAGTGACTTTGCCACATAACTCTGCAGTTTGAAATGCTGGTGGGATGGTGCCTTTGAGAGGGATATTGTGGGAGCAGCTTGTATGCTGGTCAAATGTAATGCACAATTGGCATGAAATGCAGTATAACAAACATTTGGACCTAGTTATCACAGCACTGCAAGTCCAGAGATGTGCCAAAGCAGCTTTGCCTAACAACTCTTGTATTTTTATTTTTTAATCATTGACTGTATTTATGCAAATAATTTATTTATACTACTTTAGCACTTGTATTTGTTTTATACATTCACTGTGTGATGATAAAAGGAATCTGCCCTGGCTCTACTCCCTCCGTCCTTTGTCCACAGAGACGCCTCCTCTTGTCTTTCTTGTTTATGTGATAGTGAAACACCTGCTGTATGTTGCCTGTGTTGTTGTCATGTAAGAACTGACCTCAACACCCTCCGGCGGATGTTGAGTTTGAGCTCCATGTGAATGTGTATTTGCAGTCCTCCTAGTTGTGCTTTTCAGCCAATCAATAGCTTGGAAGCTATGACAAACCCCTCTGTAAATTGATTTTTATTCTTTTTTTATTTTGTTTTTGGTACTATATGTTTTGTTTTTCAAGAAAAAGAAGCAGTGGACTTGAAATCAATGATCTTTTTATGGAATGATTCGAAGATGTCAAGTGTTTTCTAATTACAAAAGCTGAACATCAGACACCTTTTTGTGACTCTATCTTTTTTTATCGTGTTGTGCGTGTGAGTGTGTGTGTGTGATCTTCCTGAGAACAGAAAGGGACACAAAACATTGACACAACATGAGGCAGGAAAAACAACAAACAAAATGAAAGGAAACAAAACCAAAGCAAACAAAACTCAGGTAGCCAAGCATTGTTCAATCCCACAAAATGTATTTACAATTTTTGGGTTCTTTCCTTCCGTCTTCCTCAAATCGAGTGTCGTAAGAAGCAGGTACAGAATAAATACCATTGTTACACAATTTTGGAAATTTCACAACTGAGGGGGGTTGAAAGGGAAAATCAAGTTTCAAAAAAGTGACATTCATTAAAAACGGACTAATTAGAGCCAGATGAACTGCTCTTTACTTTAATGGTCTCAGTTCTAACCCTGTTGTGTTGTTTGGATCACTGCCCATCTAAATATGCCCCGATATATTGCCTTCTTGTCCAGTTCAGTCCACTGCGGAGCTGAAGAGGACTTGATGCAAAGGATGCGTTTCCATGACGACTACCAGCTCACGACTTGTTGAGTTCCACTGTCGCTACCTGGCTTCCCTGCTGACATGTTTTATGAAGCCTGTCTGCAAAACACTCGTGCACAGACCACCAAACACTGCACGCACACAGGCATTTGCTAAGACACAAACACACACACACACACACACACACACACACACACACACACACACACACACACACACACTAGTCCTGCAGCTCATCAGAGAGTGACCTACACAAAGTAAACATTTGGCTCGAACACAGTGCAAACACATGGGCTTTCTCTTGTGAATGAGAAACAGTAAAAAAGCTTAAATGCAGTTGCACTGATGTTTTTACACAATGTGGCTCATTATCGTAAACTCATTTCATTTATTTGAATGTTTGTTTTTATCAAAGCAATATATACATACGTATTATGAATACTGAACTGCACATTGTAAACTACGGGACAGCACGATTTCTCTTCTCATCTCAAATAAGATTTGATTTATTATTGTTCACCTTCATAATAGAACAAGATTGCAATTTTAAGTTCTTGAAATATTCTGAAAAATACTTTACAAATGATAAAATTCTGTTTGGAATTTTGTGAATTGTGTTGCTCTGAGGACAGCACTAAGTGTCCTGAAGGTTTTCTTTTGTACAAGTAGCTTGATATGCTCATGTATTACTGTCCAGTTGTTTTCATCACCCAGTGCTAACCACTAGGTGGTGCTGAGTCACAATGTTTGAGCAGCCACCGTCCCACCAGTGTGTCTGATGTTTGCTGACTTCCTGCGATATTCACATGTATCAGCACATACAACTCATATATATATATACAGTAGCTTACCTGTAAGTGCAAATACTCAATGAATAAATGAAAATAAAAACCTTCAACACGACACTGAAAATGTTCAAATACAAGGAAATGGCTGTTTAAACATAAAGTAACTATGACATCATTGACTCAGATGACCTCTTACCCCAGTTGTCAGAGAGATGGAACAGATACACAGGAAGTATACAGCTACAGAAACATATACATGCTAGCACCAGATACCATCTCAGCATCATTTATCTCCAGCACGTGGACAACGATAATTAATGAGTGACTTTAAAGATCTAAAATAGCATGTGAACATCCATCGTAGGACCTTAAAGTGGGTGCATGTCAGCTGCTCTTCAGACAAAGACATCATAAG